GACCTGAGCCCCCAACTGTTTCTGGATGATAAACATTTGTATTATGTCAACAAAACATAGTAACAATATTTTTATACTACATTTATACTAACCTAACACTTTGTAACAACTAAGGCAAAAATGTAATTAATTCAGAAAATGTTTTCAGGACCCCATCTTGAAGTTTTGGGACCCCACTTTGGGTCCCGACCCCAACTTTGGGAAACACTGGCATGCTAATTGTTAAAAGTTTAGCTTTGATATTATACTGTAAATACTAAGAACAAAATACTTCCTAAACAGGTACCACAAAAATAAAATGTGTTATTGTGTATAAACTAGGGTTGGGCAATATTGGCAAAAAAATTAATCACGATTAATTGTGGTATTTAGCCGATAATGATTAATTTGATGATTAATCCACTGGAGTTCACCCTTATGTCCTGGTCACACAGACTTCAGGCTATACATCAAATTTTGAACTGTTGATAGACAAATAAATTTGATTTTTTTTCTAATGTTCATCATATTTGAAGCGGTGAGGAGCACTGAGTGAGGTGGCATTAATCGTATTAATCGTCAAGTGCCAAAAAATAATCGATTAATGTCTTTCTGATGATTAAATGCGTACGATACGATTATGCCCAACCCTAGTAAAAACAGGARGCACAACAATATGCAGCTGTGTCATAAATCCCAGATGTATTAGATGGGTAATTAAATCCACAAGAGTTTTTCCTAATGTCAGATGTCTGTGCAGGAGGATGGGGATTATCATCAGATCCCCTGAGTGAACAAATGTTTTATTCATGACATTATAATCCCAGGAAGGCTGTTTATTAAATATGCATTCTGACATGGTTAATCTGTAATATAATCTGTGATTGCAGGTAAATCCAGTGAGTAATTGCTGTAAATAAAGGTTGCAGWGGAGCAGCAGGTCTGTGTGTCACTGGGAACAGGCCACGCTTCCCCCTCCTCTTCTTCTCCTGCTCTAATACAAACACTGCACGAGACACATTACTAATGTTAGCTAACCGAACAGCACAGCTAACATGATCGYTATGATTGGACACATCTGCGGCATTTCTTCATACGGTCAGGTGTAGGTGGCTTTWTTATATATAATTATCGCCACGGTGGGCATTTCTCTCTCTCTCTCTGCTGACAACCATTTCCGCGTGTCAACACCGGCCTCGCGCAGCTCATTTATTTACAAAGTGGCCGAACTACAGGCGGGATTCGAGCTGTCGGACCACCGCGGTGAACAGGATGGGTTCCGTTCGGGTTCTGCGGTGCTTTCAGGTTGAAATAAGCCGGTGGAGAGGCGGCAGCTGCCCGCTCCTCCTCCCCTCCCTGTCCCTTCCTGTCAGCTCCAGAACACGGTCTCCGCTCGGCCTCCTCCATGGCAGGAAAATAACAACAAAAACGACACAAATCGGAGAAAATGTTTCTGCTGCAGCGACACGAGGRGATAGAAAAGCGGCGGTTTATACGAACCTGGTGGGTTTACTTACAAAAACAGCAGAGCGGAAATTCCCCCCTGTTCTCCCGGTAACAAGCCTGGGCAGTGTCCCCGACTCCCACAATCCACAGCGAGCTGAAGGATCGGCGCGAGCCGTGGCTGGTGCCCGCGGAGCTGGACCGCTGAGTTCAGCTTTAACCCTTTCTTCCTCCGTCAGCTGCTCAAAACACCGGAACTGAGCCGAAATACTGCGTTTCACAACTAAATACTGTGTTTCACAACTAAATACTGTGTTTCACAACTAAATACTGTGTTTCACAAGTAAATACTGTGTTTCACAACCAAATACTGTGTTTCACAACTAAATACTGTGTTTCACAAGTAAATACTGTGTTTCACAAGTAAATACTGTGTTTCACAACCAAATACTGCGTTTCACAACTAAATACTGTGTTTCACAAGTAAATACTGAGTGTTTCACAACCAAATACTGCGTTTCACAACTAAATACTGTGTTTCACAAGTAAATACTGAGTGTTTCACAACCAAATACTGTGTGTTTCACAAGTAAATACTGTGTGTTTCACAAGTAAATACTGTGTTTCACACATAAGTACTG